GGGTCGTGCTGGGGGGTGGTCGTGCTGGGGCGTGGTCGTGCTGGGGCGTGGTCGTGCTGGGGCGTGGTCGTGCTGGTGTGTGGTCGTGCTGTGGTGTGGTCGTGCTGGGGTGTGGTCGTGCTGGGGTGTGGTCTTGCTGGGGTAGGGTCGTGCTGGGGTCGGGTCGTGCTGGGGTGTGGTCGTGCTGGGGTATGGTCGTGCTGGGGTGGGGTCGTGCTGGGGTGGGGTCGTGCTGGGTTCTGGTCGTGCTGGGGTGTGGTCGTGCTGGGGTATGGTCGTGCTAGGGTGGGGTCGTGCATTTCGCTCGAGACATCCTGCCAAAATTCCAGGAAATCGTACAAAAACAAAGGAATTAGTCGAGACATCATCGAAATTCCTTCGCGCGGGGCGCTTTTCCGCGTCGCGGTCGGCTCTGCAAAACAAGCGTTTCGCTCGAGACATCCTCGGCAAACTCTGCGGAGCAAGCGTTTCGCTCGAGACATCCTCAACACACGAAAAAGTGTCCCGCACCCTGTGATTTATCGATCGGGATTTCAAAAACAAGCGTTTCGCTCGAGACATCCTCAAATTTTAATTCGCCGGCCTCCTTCGACCTCGTTATTTATCAGGGAAAAAATTCGCCGGCCTCCCTCAAGTTGGCACCGGGGGACAGGTTTACCAACTAAAAGAGAACCCTGGGCTCATGCCCTTTCCGGGAAAAGGACCCAAGCACTCCCTCCAGAGCTCTCACCAAGCCCCGGCATCCCAACCCCATGGAGCCTCAGTTTTTTTTGACCCCCCACCCTACCATTTCTCACCCAAAAACGACCCACGCCCCCCTCCAGACCTCCCAACATCCACCAGGCTCACCCAAAAACGACCGACACCCCCACCGCGCCCCCACCGCGCCCCGACACCCACACCCCATGGAGCCTCACTTCTTGGACCCCCCCACACCACGACTTCTCGTCCAAAAGCGACCGACACCCCCCACCCCGCCCCCACCGCGCCCCGAAACCCACACCCCATGGAGCCTCAGGTCTTGGACCCCCCCACACCACGATTTTGTCGTCCAAAAACGACCGACACCCCCACCGCGCCCCCACCGCGCCCCGACACCCACACCCCATGGAGCCTCAGTTCTCTGACCCCCCCACACCACGATTTCTCGTCCAAAAACGACCGACACCCCCCACCGCGCCCCCACCGCGCCCCGACACCCACGCCCCATGGAGCCTCAGTTCTTGGACCCCCCCACACCACGATTTCTCGTCCAACAACGACCGACAAGGACCCGTGCGGCCGCTGGATGGCGGATGCCATCTGGTGCCTGCGCTGACCTGGCGAGCGTGAGCCGCAGCGGTTGTTCCGCCGCCCGTGCGACGTCGCGCCTGACATCGACATCTCTATCACCGCGGAACTGGACCTTGCAAACCCTGGCGTGGACACCCTTGACATGCATGCTGGCCGCGCCCATGGAAAACATATCCGCCCAGAGGTTGCCAACGGACTGAAAAGTATGGGGCGCAGTGCAGTCCAGCTCGATCGCAACCTCCAGAATGAGTGAGGGGCACACAGAATCACACTGCGCCCTGCTCACTCGGCCCACCGCACGAAATCCAGATGGTTCGGATGGGGGCGCAGCGGGGCCGTTCCAACCTGGATCTGGTACGCTCCAGGCAGACCTCCACAGAAGGTACTGCCTGAGAAGAGGCCCTGATTGGCCTGCGCCAGCTTCCCAAGCCGCAAGGCCCGCTGTCATCTGGGTGCATCCTGGTATCTCGACGCGCCTCCGAGTCAGCGAACGTCTGGCCCAAGCTCAATTTGCGCTTGTTCATGCTGTGGTCCAATAATGAAACAGCTTGGCAGCCCTCGGGCTGGATGAGTGCAACCTGACTTCCTCGTATGCCCATTTTGTAGGAAGCGCCTCGGCGTGGACTCCTCCTACAGATCGATGGGTGGAAGAATTCCAGCCATAGGGACGATGAAGAAGAGTGAATCGGAGAAGGGAGCAGGAATAGCTGGCAATGGGGCCAGAGGAGGGGGAGAAAGGGAAGGGAAGGACGAAAACAAATGAAGAGAGAAATCGACGAAGGAGGGAAGGATGAGGGGAGGAGGAAGGAGGAGGAGGAGGAGGAGGAGGAGGAGGAGGAGGAGGAGGAGAAGACGGAGCAGGAGGAGGAGGAGGAGGAGGAGGAGCAAGAGAAGGAGGAGAAAAGGAGGAGAAAGAGGAGGAGCAAACGAGGAGGAGGAGGAGGAGGAGGAGACGGAGCAGGAGGAAGAGGAGGAGGAGGAGGAGGACGAGGAGGAGGAAGGAGAAGGAGGAGGAGGAGGAAGAGGAGGAGGGCGGAGGAGGACGGAGGAGGACGGAGGAGGCGCAGAAGACGGAGAAGGAAGAGCGAGTGGGAGGAGCAGGAGGAGGAGGGAGGAGGAGGAGCAGGAAAAGGAGGAGGAGGAGGAGACAGAGGAGGAGGAGAGGGAGGAGGAGGAGGAGGAGGCGGAGTTCCCTTTCCCTCCCTTGCACCTCCGCACTTTTTGCGCGCGGGCGATCCTCCTCCTCCTCCTCCTCCTCCTCCTCCTCTCCTCCTCCACCTCCTCCTCCTCCTCCCCCCCCTCCTCTCCCCCTCCTCCTCCCTCCTCGTCCTCCATCCTCATCCTCGTCCTTTCCCGAGCGATACAATAACAACTTGCGTGGAACTCCTCTCGGGCCCATCTTGGGGATCTCATGGGCCGTCTTTGGAGCCTCTTTGGCCATCCTGGGCCTGTCGAGGGCCGTCTTGGAGCTCTGAGCGGGACTGCCTAGGCCGTCATGGGAGCCTCTTGAACCGTCTTGGACGCAGTGGCAGCCAACAGGCGAACATGCAACAAATATACGGTTTCCCATAAGAATGAAACGATTCTGCCTGTTGGGGGCTCGCTTGCAATCCCTCTTGAAGCGTCTTGGGATGTTTTCGGGTGGCTCTTGGGGCCCTCTTAGCGCCTCCGGAGTGGCTTTCTCCCTCTGGGTCCCCTCTCGGGCCCGCCTTGGGCCTCTCTTAGACCTTAGACCATCTTGGAGTCCAATTGTGCGTCCTGGGCGCCTCGTGGGCCGTCTTGGAGCTCTCTTGAGGGCCACCTAGGCCGTCTTCGGGGCCTCTTCGGACGTGTTGGATGCGGTGACAGACCACCAGGCGAACATGCGAAAAGTATACGTTTTCCATAGGAATGGAACCAGTTTTGCTTATTCGGGCTCTCGTGAAGTGCCTCTTGGAGCGCCTTGGGATGCTTTTGGGAGCCTTTTTGCGCCTCTTGACGACATTTGGGGGCCTCCTGGGGCGTGTTGGGCCGAAAGCTCGGAATTCGAGAGTGGCTTTCTCTTTCTGGGACCCCTCTCGCACTCGTCTTGGGGCTCTCTTGGGCCGTCTTGGGGCCGTCCTGAGCCACTCGTGCGCAGCCTTGGAGCGCTCCCGGAGGCCTCCTAGGCCATCTGGGAAGCCTCTTGGGCCGTCTTGGACGCGATGGAAGCCCAAAGGCGACCATGCGCAAAGTTCACGTTTTCCCATAGGAATGGTACCAATTTTGCGTCTTGCACCTCTTTTGGGGTCCCTCTCGGAACGTCTTCGGGTGCTTTTGGGAGCCTTTTGGCTCATCTTCGCGGCATTTTGGCGCCTCCTGGGGACTCTTCGGCCGAAAACTCGCAATTCGAGGATGGCTTTCTCCTTCTGGGACTCCTCTCGAACTCGTTTGGGGGCTCTCTTGGGCCGTCTTGGGGCCGTCTTGGCCGCGGTGAAAGCCCAAGAGGCCACCATGCGAAAAATATACGGTTTCCCATAGGAATGGTACGATTTTGGCTTCTTGGGCCTCTCTTGGAGTATCTGTCGGCGCGTCTTGGGAGCTTCTGGGACCTTCTTGGAGCCATAACAAGCATTTTGCAAGGCATCTGGAGCGAGGAGAACGCGTTGTCGAGCGTTCCGAAGCCGCGGTCCGGCGGTCCGACAAGACTCCAGGCCCCCCGGAACCCGCATTTGCAGTCGGGGTCCCAGCCCCGAGCCCCCGGATCCGGCACGCCGGAGCGGTTGACAGAAAGAGCGAGAGAGAGAGAGAGAGAGAAAAAAAAAAAATGAGAGAAAGAATGAGAGAGAAAAACAGAGAATACGACGTATACTATACCAACAACCGAATTGGACGGCGTAGCTAAGAGGAAAAAATGGAGAGAGAGAGAGAGAGAAAGAGTGAGAGAGAGAGAGAGAAAGAGAAAGAGAGAGACCGAGAGAGACGACCGAAGAAAGGGCGTGCGAGTGTGTGTGTGTAAACACATATACACAGAACACAACATCCACCACGGTGCCCTGAGGCACAGAGTGGGCGTGTCCTCAAGTTATTTTATGAGACTCAGGTCTCAATGCTCAGAATCGGTGGGGGGTTGGGAGGACATGTTTGACACCCGCGTGAGCACGCCGCCCACAGAGGCACAACAGATACCCAACGAGGCTCCCCATGGAACCCAGGAGGCCCCAAGAAACCTCCCAGAACCTCCACGAGTCCCCCGAACGCGGCCCCAAGAACCCAACATCACTGACTTTCTATTGTGTTTGACGGATGTGCGCGCACCTAGAACACCGAAGAGCACGAAAGCCTGCCCCAACACGACACCTCCTTGACGTGCTGCTGCCGAGCCCCTGCCCCACGCCCCCAACCAGCTGACACGCGCCATCATGACCTCCTTTGGGGTCGGCGGCAGAGGCGGCAGCCTTTAATATGTCCAGGTCGGCGTACCTGTGTGGACACACCTAAACCATGAGCCCTGATGCGGGCTGCCCAAAAAAACGGAACTCTGCGACAGCCCTGAACACCTCCCGCAGAACTTCTACCTCGCAGCAGCCTGCCAGATTTTAGGCTTCCCTTCCGATTACGGGATCTCCACAAGCAGCATGGGCAGCCACAACGAAGACAAAGCTGAGAAGAACTGAATTAACTACGCGCAACTCCTTGCCACTGTCCTACCTACCGTGGATCTTGGCGACATGCCTTGGGTTGCAACCTCACTGGTCTGCAGAAGTCTTGTTGATCGTGGACCAATACGTGTCCCACATCCGGGTGGCGTTACCAAAGACACAGTAATCCACCAGCGGGGCCTTTGCCTCAGGGTCGTCCTTGATGCTGCCGTATGGCTCCAAGTCGTTCGACCCGAGCACCGACTTCCACACCAGAGACACGCTCGTCTTCTTCTGGCGCATCCAACCAGCGCACACGCCGCCACCCGTTGCGTCGAATCCAGAAACCACTTCCGCCATCATCACCATGCACTGGGCGTCCCACCACTTGGCCTCACCGGCGCCCAGGAAGGCTTTCGCGAGCTGGGTGGTGAAGATGCTCAGCGTGGGATCTGCGAGCGTCTCGGTCGCCGCTTCGATCTCCTCCAGTATGATCGGCATGTTGAGAGTTGCGTTCGCCGCGAGCACGTACACGCCGGCGTCGGAGTCTACGAGGAAGCCATAGATCTTGTGCCACGCGAGGACGTCCATGAAGACGTTCCACTCTGTGTCGCCCTTCTCCGTCATATTGACCCCTCGGCAAATGGGGCGGACGATGCCGACCTCACCATCAAATTTCAGAGGGGGATCGTCACCCGTGTAGATCTGGGAGCCCACCTCCGCACAGGAACCTTTCACGCCGTTGAACTCAAGCTGCCAATCGTAAACATTGTTCGTGCCTGGAACTCCGTAGGCGCTGCCCATCATGAAGACGTCCCTGATTTTCGAGACCACGGAGGGATCCATCTCCAGCGCCGCGGCCAGATTCGTCACTGGCCCCGTGGTTAGAATGATGACAGGGCACGAGGAGCTCTTGAGCACCTCCACGATCAGCGACGGCGCAGACAGGTCCGAGATCGAGTTAGACGTCGGCTCGAGGATGGTGCCGTTCGGCCCTCCCGGCTGCATCGACTCGATGAACTCGTCCACCTCGATCCGCCACTGCAGGGGCATGGTCGCGATCGGGCTCAGGCTCGCCGTCAGGCCGTAGGCGACGGGGACGTCCCCGAGACCGAGCAAGGCCGCCACCGAAGCCATGTTGGGCGGCCCGCCGCTGGGCGTGCCCATGCCCGTTGCCTCAACGGTGATGGCCTTGAGGTCGAAGAGCGGGCTCTTGGCGATGTACAGGAACCCCAAGATGTCGTCGTAGTTCGAACAGGGGATCGACTACATAATGGTTTACTTCAAAATTGATTTGCTCGCTGAAGATATACAAGAAGCACGTCGAATCTCCGTTCGTGGATATACGGGGCACTGCACGTACTTGTTTCGTAGAGTCGGCGGGGAAACCAAGTTGGGGGTAAACCAATTCTGTAGTCGATACCCTACTCGAGTAGTTCGCGTCGTTGTCGAAGATCAGGGGGTAGGGCTCCCCGCAGGACGCGCCCGCGGAGGGCTCCTGCCCGGCCATCGGCGCCGCGCGCCGAGCCTTGCTCGACCCCCGCTTCTGCAGCAGTGACGCGGCCTCCGGCTCTCCGCCGGCCTCGCAGCTCCCCCCCGAGGCGCACCCGGGCGCCGACCGGGCGAGCAGGGGCGCTGCGCAGGCGAGCAGCAGGGCCAGCGGCGCGGCGGCCGGCATCTGGGCGGGGACCTTCGCGCAGTGCGCAGATCGCGGGTGCAGGGCGGCCCAGAGATGTCGATCCTCTGGGAGGGAGCGCCGCCAGAGCCAAAGGGCAGCCAAAGCTACAGAAGCCAGATCGCTCGCTCCTTGACGGCGCCCTGACGCGGGACTGGCCCCCGAAGGCCCAAATTGTTTGACCAGTGCGTCATGGATGTGTACGTGTATGTGTACTTTAACGATGCGAATGCAAACGTACATCTGTACAGTCGGACTTGATTGGGCAGGACACGCGAGAGGACACAAGACCCTTCCGCGGTCCAAATTTCCATAGGAATGTAGGAGACATGGGTCGCAAGGCACAGGACACGAAGGTACCCTTGATCTGGCAGGGTCGACCTACTAATCCGGGCCGCCTGTAGTACTTATAAACATACACAATAAATCAGGGAGATACCCAGCTATCGAAAAATTACCCTGGCCAGCCCTCCGGTCAACCCCGGCCACCCGCCCAGCCAACCCTGGCCAAGCCTCTCGGGCAATCCCTCCGATCAACCCCTGGTAAGGTATCACCCAAAGACGTGACAGATGTAGATGTCCGTGACGCAGTGAGGTCTGGGCCAGTCCATCCACACTCGGTCAGAATCACTCCGAGGACCCCTCCCAGATACCGTCCTGACCACGTCGATCAGGGGAGCAAAAACAAAGAGGCAAAAGATCGACGAAGACGACGACGACGACGAACACGGCGACGAGCACGCAAACGAGCACGACGGTCGGCGTCGACCTCCGCCTTCAGAGGCATTCAAGCCCACGGAGGCCCCCGAAAAAAACGACAAACACCCGACACATTGACTTGTCAATCCGCGGGCGCAGACGGTCTCGAGCCCCTACTCCCAGGGGGTAGTCCCACCAACCCTCTGGGCGGAAGTGGTATCACGGTTCTCCCCTTCCCTCTTCGAGAATCCCTCCTGCTTGTTTTCGGGGAGGGGCTTACCCCTCCACCATACACCCTGTCTTGGGGGGGGGGCCGAGGTGAGGGACGGCCCTTTTGGGTCTCAGCATGCCCCCTAGATGGCTCCCGATGCACCTACATGGCCTCCAAGATAGCACAAGATGACACAGGATGGTTCGTGATTACCTCCGACAATACCTCCAAGATGCCCCAAGGCGGCCCCAAGACGGCTCCAAGTGCTCTCGGAGCCCCACACGGAAGCCCCTAAGAGGAGGCCAACATCGTCCCAAAACCGAACGGCGTTCAATTATTCGTGCCCTCTCGTTTTTTCGCTTACGATGGGCCTCTGAGGCCTAAGATGGCTCAAGAGAGCCCCAAAAAGGGCCCAAGATTGCCAAAAGACAGCCCGAAGATCGCCCCAAAGCGCCCCAGG